CCCCGCCGCCGCCGATGACGACGACGAATCCAAGATCAGGAAGCACCAGCATTTTTTCCTGCACGCCGCGACCAGGGCCTCCAATTACCTCTCCCGAATGAGTTGTTCCGGCCCCTATTGGGCTTTCGCCATCTCCTTCCTTCTCCTTCTCCTGTCGGTCTCATCCTTGCTCTTTAGTCCTCGCGGCTTCGTGTGCGTGTCCTCCTCTTCCCCATTTTCTCGGGTCGGCCTCTTCGGTTCGGACGTCATTGAATCCGATTTCGGAGCTCTCGGCGTGCCCTGGTGTAAGTGCCTGATCTAATACGTTGGCCTTTTTCCAATGTTGATTTTTTTTTCCCTCTTGAGATTTAGGTGTTTGTATTACTGGGTTTTGGGGTCCATTTAGATCGAGGGAAAATGCTAGCTTGAGAAGTGTTTCGTTTCTGCAAGAATTAATAGAAATAATGAACTGAATGCTCATCAACTGGAGGAAGGCCGGTTCATCATTTACTCATGTTCTTATTTTTATTCTTGGATTATTGAAACTGAATTAATTGTACCCACACCCACCTCCACCTCCGGCCTCCACCTCCATTGGTTTGCCATTTTTCTCCTTTTCGTACGGCACATTTGACAGCTGATAACACGATATGAAAGTGAAGTAGATAGTGCCTTTAGTTTCAAGATGATAGTAATCTGTGAATATATTTGTTCTGTTCTGCACTTATCGAGCAGTCTGTGGCCTAATCAATGTTTTAGGTAGGAGTTATCATTGAGTACTTATTAGCTCCGTGCTAAAAAATTCTTTCTAACGCTTTGAACTCAGGAAACGTTGATATTTCAGGGACTTCTGTTTTCCTTATTATCCCCATTTTGTTGAAAATTATACAAGGAAAATTGAAGTTTGAGTTTGCACGTAGTTGTAGAAAATCATCGAGTTAGATTCGGTCGCTTGTGGGAATATGAGATCAATTTGTCGGGTGGTGACAATTCAATTTTCTTCTATAAGAAACTCTTCGTTTCTTTTAATATCGTTATGTTCGTGGTGTTGACTTTTTTGGGTACTTATAATCTCATCCTTGGTAAAGGCAGATCGAAACATGGTAAAACAGTTGAATGGACGTCAAAAGATCTACTCAAGGGGTTGGAAGAATTTGCTCCTATATATGAAACTCGGCCAATAAAAAATAACTTGCATGGTATGGGTTTTGACCACAGCTTTGGGCTTTGGTTCATTGCCAGATGGCTGAAGCCAGATCTGATGATCGAGAGTGGTGCTTTCAAAGGACATTCAACTTGGGTTTTGCGGCAGGCTATGCCGGACACACCAATTATTTCACTTTCGCCCAGGCATCCAGAGAAGTATCTGAAAAAGGGACCTGCCTATGTTGATGGAAATTGCACATATTTTGCTGGAAAGGACTTTGTGGATTTTGGAAGTGTTAACTGGCCAAAAGAGCTGAATAAACGTGGGATTACTGACCTGAGTCGGGTTCTTGTATTTTTTGATGACCATCAAAATGAATTGAAAAGGTGATTACAGGATATTTGTGAACACTTGTATCCGTTTTTTCTTCAGTCATCATGTTGAAACTGCCTTCGCTTAACTTTTTTTTTTTTTTTTATGTGTGTATTAACGAGCAGAGTTAAACAATCTCTGAAAGCTGGGTTTCAGCATCTTGTCTTTGAGGATAACTATGACACTGGAACTGGAGACCATTATTCATTGAGGCAGATATGTGATCAATTCTATATTAGAGGTGTGCAACCTTCCACTTTTCCATGGATTTAGTATATTGTACAATTTGTACCACTTGTTTGCTTTTTGAGTCTGAAATGTGTGCAACTTACACAGGAAAGACTTGCAGTAGTTTTCCTTGAGATATCTGTGGAAACTTGATATGTCTGAAATATTTTTGTTCGAATGCTCTGGCTGTTTGGCATAGAGCAATAGAATTATAGGGGGTCTGAGGTGTTATGTCAGTTATCAGACACAATGGGGGAAGAGTAAAATAAACTTTGTTATTTATGTTTGATGGCCTTAGTAGTTTGGCCTAGAGAAATAGAATATCAGGGGAGGAACTGGGGTATTATATTGGGCATATTGGTGGAAGAACATGTCGGTAGCTTGACATCAGACTTAGGCAAAGGAACAAGCAATGGGAGGCCATGCCAATGTCACCACAAGCGTTGCACTAGCAAGTCTGCAGGAATCAATATCATGAGGATGCTCACAAAAGTCGGCATTCACTAGCCAACATATGTAGGGACCACCTAGGTCATGGACAAGGTGGTGCAGCAAATCAGTGGTGCCGTGTAGAACCCCATTTATCCATGTTATAGAGTTGGCACCAGCCCTGACATAGCTATTAGGCACATCTTCTGTAGCCAAAACGAGTTAAGGATAACTTTATACAAGAACCTTTCTCAATTTCTGGTTTTGGTTTGCAGAAGCTTTATGCTGACTCACGTGAAATTTTTACCTTGTTTTTCTCTTAACTGAGAAATTAAGATATCTTTATCTTCTTTTTTTTTTTTTTGGAGGGGGGGTTGACTTGCCTGTATATTTTCATTTTATTATGCCTGGTCATTTTTCCTGTACACGAAATTGACATATTCTCTTGGTTGTTGGTGTAGGAGGGGGACACAGCTGCTTTAGGGACAGCGACGAAGCTAGGATGAGATCGAGGAATAAGAAGTTCTGGGAAAAAGCAGTTGATATTGAAGAACTTTGTGGGCCAGGCGAAACATGGTGGGGAGTTAGAGGGTACATGCGTGATAACTTCAATCATAGCAATAGGCGAATCTCATATGCAGAACATTTTCAGAATAGCCGGTTCGTGGAATCAGTTCTTGATGTGTATTGGGAACTTCCTCCAGTTGCGGGTCCCTCCCTCACCCACCAAAGCAGATATGATCCTGCGCGCACATCCAGTCCTATTGTGGAAGATGGGCGATTTGGTTTGTTCCAAAGGCTTGGCCTAGCTAGACTTGACAATTCTGTATTTAATGGATACACTCAGATGGTTTATATACAAATATCTGAACGATAATTTAGACCTTCCTACACCAGAATACCAGGATTTTTGTACTTGTATTTTTGTATGAATCGTCGTTTCAGCCGGTTTTGGCTTGAAATATGGCTTCTTCTTCTTTCTTCTCACTCCATGCTTTTCGTGTCTTGAAATTCTAGATAGCCTTCTGTGCTAACTAAATCTTTTCCATAATCTTTAGTAATTCGTTCATTTTCGATTTATGGTAGTCTAATTTTAGGTTAGTTTCAAGGGAGCCATGAATAATATATATTCCATATCAGTCGAATCCGCAGCATGTAGTGAGGCTTCTAGGGCGTTGGTGAGAATGAAATCACAAGCTCTCATATTCTCTCGAGTACTAAGGGCAAAAGGCAGACTCACCACAACTTGTTTGGCGACATATTCAAGGGCTTGGATTCGAACTCCAACCATTAGCTTAAATCAATGATGAGAGCCTTTATTACTCGCATCAACTTGAGTCGAGTCTTTATTTATTTTTTATTTTGTTTCACTTCACTGTTCTTTAGTATGGTACTATCTAGAGTTTTAATTATAAGAGCTACCTCACTAATTTGAGAAAATTAAAAAAATAAGTTAAGTTAGTTATTTGTAATAAATAGGTATTATTTTTCTTAAAATATCTTTTCTAATCAAGTGTATTGGCTAGAACTATTATTATTAGAAGGACTACTACTTTAGAAAAAAATGTATATATGAGAGACAAAGTGGATTGGAGTCTTATATTTGATCTTATATTTAGAATCAAAATAAAAATCAAATAATATCTTATATTAAGGATCGGAGGTAGTATTAAATTTTGATTTAAAACTGTTTTCTATTTGCTTTCTTTTCTATAGTAGAGTTATCCAGCCCATTTATACGGGGGGAAAGTAAATATAGCTATTAAAGATATTTTAATAAAATTTCGGATGCACCTTGCTCTATTATTTTATTGTGAGAATGATGGGTAAATTCCATGAAGTTACTTGCAGATAAATTCTTGATAAATTTTTTCTTTTTTGTACAAGCAGTTGAAAGTAAAAAATTTAGACAATTACAATTTCAATAATCTCTACTGTGAATTAGGCACTTATATAGCTCTCAGATTGCAAATAAGATTCCCATTTATAATTTTTAAAATCGATGTTTGCAAATTAATTTTTTGGAAAATTTTGTTGATGATCTAATTATCATAAAATTAAATTTAAATTTTATTCTCATTTTGCAAATATCTTTAAATTAATATAAGAGCTAGTTGACTAATTTAAATAGATTAAAAAGTTTATTAAATTATTTACTTGTAATAAATAGATGTTATCTTCTCTAAAACACCTTACTGATCATATATATTAGCTAAAACTACAATTTGATAAAACATTTAACATATATCAACTACAACACAAAAACTACCTTAAAATAATAGATAAATATGAAAGATAAAGTGGATTGAGATTTCAAAATAGCTTTTATATTAAGACCAGAGGTAATATATTTCACATTTTAAATGACCCAAATTCATCTAATCTATAAGTGGATTGAATTTTTTTGAAAAAAGACCATGCATGAGGTGACTTGGATGAACGTGAGATTATAGTCAAAGGCCTCTTAACAGACATCATAAGATCTCTGACCATCATCATTATACTCATTCCTCTTCCCATTTTCCGACCATTTCTGGCCATTAACATTTTTTCCTTGAAAATTTCTAACCACATTATCCTTCCAAACACCACATTTACCCAGCAAATTTTCATAGTTCTTAAATTATGTATTGAAATTTATTCAGTTAATACTTGATACTCAAACCTTTATATATTATTCACAATCAGCTTTTTGATATCTCAAGAATATAACTATGCGCAGGATTAAAATTCTTTTTTTTCTGATGACTGCAAGATTGAGATATAATTATCTATAATTCGACAACTCGATTAATAAAATTTGCATGTTTTATGTATAGAAAATTAGGAAATGATAACGAGAGGGTAAAGACACAACAGGAAAATCTTGTATACGGCAACAGAAATCCAAAGATACAGCAGCAAAACCATGTGTGTATGTAGTGTATATATGTAAATATATGGTCTGGATTTCTCCAGTTAAATTCTACAGACAGAAAACTTGTCAGTCTATCAATGCATGAAAAACAAAAATGAAACACTGAGATTACATACATATGATGTGATAAAATCTTTAATCTTTTCAAATGCTTCAATGGTTGTCCCTCCCTCTTCTGGTTTAACTGGTTTCTTTTGCAGCCAAGCTAGTTTTGGCCCCTGGATTTTTCCACCACCCTTGGAGCTGCAACAAACACAAATTCATCTCATTTTAACCAATCTTCCTTTCCAAATATAGTAAGTTATTTGAGCATATTCCAGAGTTATTAGGCATACCGAGCCCCGTTGCCTCAGAACCTTTCATGATCCTTAATCTCCTACACGAGTCAGTGAACATCCTGTGGCAACAAATTAGCAAATTCAGACTAGAAATCTTATTACAGACAAAAATGGTCACAAATCAAATCAGAGTTTAAATTAGATGGGTTGTGCTTGAAGTTGAAGAATCAAGAGCTAGTTCTTGAACCACAAATCAAAATTTATTTGATAGATGAACAGACAATGATTTTCCACCTATAAGGACTTTGATTGAATGGATAAGAGGACTTACTCCCAGGGAACATCACCAACAAGCATCCAATCTCCATCTTTATCTTCATAAGTAAGAACATACTCAGAACCATGAAGAAGATCCCTCAAAGAGCTCTCACTTAGGCCTTCTTTCACAGCAAGTCCTCCAGAGCTGCACTGACCTAAATTTGAGGAACAGAAAATCATCAAAATTCAACATTTCAAGTTGAGATCTTGCTAACAAAAGCTTTACTTTATCAATTCCTCCTGTCACTTATAAGCTAGCAAAAAGGAAGGGAGAAACCCTTCTAAGATATTTCACAACAGTAATAACATTTTCTTTTTGTTTTACTTCATCTTCCCCATATCAGCTTAATGGATTCAGAATTTCAATCCCAGAATAACCTTGAAGAAGTAATAGAACTTTTTGAATATTCATGTTGGCCTGTTAAAAGTCAAGGTAATAATGAAAGGAATAATGTATTAAAATAGATTGCAGACCCAATTTGAAGAAGATAAATAACATTATAGTGTTAACTGCAAAAGGTTCAGCCAGTTTCATTTTGCTAGATGTGCGTGTATATATATAGAGAGAGGGAGAGAGAGTACCAATGGTAAAGCAGCTGAACATCTTCTCAAGAGCTGAAGAAAGTTCCACATAGTTGCTGAAGGTTTTGAGATCAACCTTTCTGAGATAAGGGGCACCATCCATGCTGACCTTCACATAGAGACAGCCATATCCTGCTTTACCCTCACCTTCATCATTGTTCTTTGTTGAAGTAGAGGCCATGCTGTTCTTTCGAAAAGATCGAATTGGTGGCCATCCCACAACCTGTGCCCTGTTGCAAAAGCCTCATATTTCAGTATTTATCCTATCGATTATTATTATTATGTGCACAAGCGAACATCGTTGATGTTCCGTTAAAAAAAATGGTAATAATATTCAGTTCTACAGAGAGGAAGATTTGAATTTGATGCCTCTTAGTTTAAACTTCCGTGGAAGGCTTAATTTTTAGAAGAGGATAGTAAGAACATCTATGATGACTGGATAAACCCAAAAAAAAAAAAAAAAAACCCAGAAAGATCTGTATATCATAATATCCCAAAATGAACAAGAAAAGAAACTAGAAATCAAAGGGAAAGGGAATACACACAAAATAACATCCATGGGGTTTGCTTTGATTCATTTTTAAAGGGGGGGGGGGGGCTTGAATTCATTTGGTAACCAATCTCAACCTTGCTCCTTTATGCAGGACAACCATTAAGGAACTTCATGCAAGAGAGACATGAAATCCCTTGTTTTTGTTTTAGAAAATACAGAAAATAAAAAAAATGACATGAAGGAACACTTAACACTTAAAATTTAGAAAACTTCATAACGATCAATCATCATATTTTCATCAGCTAATATAACAGCCTTTCACCTTCTTCCCGGGAACCAAGACCAAATGATGATGACATGGAAAAGAACACAGAAAAGGAGGGCAACTTACTTAGCAGCAGGAGGAGCACTTCCATGTTCATTTGAAGCAGCAACAGTAACCTGAGGTTTCTTCTTCTCTTGAGCTTTTCCACCATCTTTAATGTTTTTTTGTTCAGAATTTGCAGAAGCTTCTGCAGCAACGGGAGGAGGCTTCACAGCATTCCCTCCTCTGGGAGAGAACAAAGAAGCTCCTTTTCCCAAATCAGCTTCAGACCCAATTTTGTCACTTACAGGAAAACTCCATTTCCCAGAAGACTCAATCCCATCAATGGTGTCAGAAAAACCCCTCTTAGCTCCAGCCACGTTGTTCTTCAAAGGGGAAGAAGAACAGAACGCATTGTTAGCATTACTATCAGTATTATTATGATTACTCTGCAAATCCTTCCCGAAAAGAGAAATCCCAGTTCCTGATTTCCTCTCAAGAGGAGGAGGAGGAGAGTCACTACCAGGAGGCCCAAGCCTGAGCTCTGTCTCTTTGAAATTAAGAGAAGAGCTATTTTCCTTCTCAGAAGAAAGAGTAGACGAAGCAGCAGAAGAAGGAGAAGATATTTTCTCAGAGTGTTTCTCCATGGACGGATTCTCTGATGCTGCTAAGCCTATGTAATCATGTTCTAATGGTTTAGACATCAAAATGACACCAAGAAATGAAGTGAAGTGATATGAGAAATATGATGAAGCAAACAGGAGTGTCTGCTTATAGGTGTAAGCTGGAAGAACGAAAGTACAGAAAACAAGTCACAAAGAAGAGGCTATGGCGGGTGTGTGTGTCCGAAGCCTCAAACTGTGGTTTTTGTTGATGCAGAAAAGAACCTTCCTGGGCCTTTCTATGGTTAACTTAACTTTTCCCTTTTCAACCAAAAAAAAGAAAGAAAAAAAGAAAAAAGCAATTTTCCCCCACACATAATACATGTAGAACAATTTAAGATATGATCATAATTAATTCAGGTTGGTATTAAAAAGAAGAAGAAGCTTTTTTTCTCATTTTCTTTAGTGTTAGTTAGGGACAAGCCCACGATTTAAGAATGAAAGGCATATATAATACAAAGATTATATAAATAATGAATACAAAGATTATATAAATAATGAAAAGTCGAAAATATATGATACTCATAATATCAAGAAAAAAAAGAATAGATTTTTATATAAATGTAAAGAAAGTATTCGATAGATGAAAGGAATACGGGACAGGGAGCACCGACAGCAGGCAGAGTATTCCCCGGCAACCTTTTACGCAGTGTTTCCACTTTAACAATATACTACTACATGTTCGATACTTTAATACCGGCCGCCTAAAATGCGCCGGACCACACGGCGTACGTTAGACAATGACCCTTGCATGAGAATATAGAAATGGAATCCACTTTGGGGTTATATATATTATATATAATATATACGTGAAAGGGATTGAACAATCCCTTCTCATTCATTGAATCCCTTCTTTCTTGCTTCCTCTTCCATATCCTAAAATCTCCCTTTGTCACAGCTTTTTTTTCAAAAATATCAGTGAAATTCATATGAAATACTCCTCCAATCTTTAATATAAGACCCAATTCTTGAGTTTTTTTGTCATAAATATAAGATCCATTTCTCATATTTATCAATTTTCTCTAAATTACTCCTATAGATACTCCCTCAACCATAATCAAGTAAAAGAAGGAGGGGGTATTAAGAAAGATGATTATGGTGTTTTAGGAAAATATGTCATATTTTTTATAATTAACTAACTTACCTAACTTCCTTAATCTAATCAAAGTAGTTAAATGGGTCTTATATTAAAGATTGGATGAGTAATTAGATTAGTGCTTTACATGTGAGTCTTGCTATTTATAGTTCATAAATAATATTTTGTTTTTTTAATAAATTATTATATTATATATATATATAGATGTGTGCTTGTTGTGTAAATTTCAATCTTACTAACGTTCACTATTTAGAATTGTTTTGGACGTTAAAAATTCAAATTTAGCTCTTGTCTTTGTAATCTGATGACAGCGATGTTTTTGATAAATAGGAGATTGTGAGTTCAATTTTACTTGTAACTTAGTTATTAGGATCTTTTTCTCTAATTTAAAAAATCAATTTATTTATCAAAATAAATTTTGGATATTTAACATAAATATTACTTGTTCGATCCTATATAAGACCCATTTTATAGTGGAAATAATAGTTAATAATTCAGAGACAAAAAGGTATAAATAGGAGAGGCATGATTCAGCCACTTGACTTGTGGGTTTTATCGCACAGGATTCTACTTTTTTTAAAAAAAAAAAAGAAAAATGTTATTTACTAGTTTAAAAAAAATTCTCGTTTTATATATTACGAGATGATGACATAATAATTTATAAAAATAAATATATAAATGCTTTAGTCAAAGTGACAACTAAAAATTGTTACTATATTATTATCATTTAACGTGAAACAGAAAATTTATGATGAATAAGTTGTAAATATAGAAATGTATTTCTAAGAATTAAGAGAATAAAGGGAAAAAAAGAAAAGAAAAGTAGAAAGTTAAAAATAAATAAATTAGAGAAAGTGAAAAAATGATGATGGCTCGGCTCCATTATATTGTAGCATGACTTTAGCCACGCGCGTATCTGAGGGTAATGATGGTGTAATCTAACAGTGGGAAGGCGTGCGCAGACACCGTAGGCTATCTTAACGGTAAGGATTCGTCCACGTCCCTCTATGCGGTCGTTAGGGGACAAAACGGCGTTCTGTCGTTGCCGTTGACGCAGGTAAACGGTAAACACCTCATCATTGCTTCATTGATCTCCTACGTTAACCTCCCCACTACGTCCTCTTTCCGTCTTCTACCTTTTTTTTTTCTTTTAAAAATATTGTTTCATGATATTCAATTAAAAAAAGTCTTTGTCCCGTAAAGTTTAAAAAGCAGTAATCAAATTTTTTTATTATGATATATTTAAAAAAAAAGATGCCACTTTGATTAAAAGCATTGATGAATTTTAGAGTATATTGGGAACAATTTAAATATAAGAACTAGTCATTCAATTCATATAAAATAAGCTAAAGTCTTGATGAATATTACCGTGCTTTGGTTTTAAAAACAATATAAAAAAATAATTTTATTTATATGATACATTGATAAATTAGTCATGATAAAAAAATTCTTATTTATACTCTTGTGTGGCTTCGATTTTTTTGATTTAATATTATATTTCATAAAATATGATAAATATTACTCCATTCGTTCAATCTTGATATTATAAAAGTTAAATAATTAATTTATGAATATTAAAAAAAATTAGTTAAATTAATTATTCATAACAAAGTGTATTAATTTTTCTAAAATAGCATTTTTAACCATACGCATTGTAACTACTCTTGATAAAAATTATCTTATTATATGTAATCAGTAGGCATATTTTGAGAAAAATTATAAATTTGAAAGATAAAATAAATTGAGATCTTATATTTAAAAATAAATTAAACCCCTTGTTCAGCTGGTGTATTTATGATGGAAGGTAGAATTTTATTTCAGTATTAATATTAATGCAAAATAAAAAAGTTATAATACTTTGCCTTATTTGCGAGGTATAGAATAGACTCTATAACTTATTTTTGTAATGCGCAAAAAGGTTAATTAATTGTAATGGACAGAAACATGAAACTGAGTTAAAAAAACAAACCTGCAATTTGTATAAATAATTATTGTAGGTCATATGTATTTTATAAATTTTGAGAAATTGTCTTGCCAAATGCCAAATATAGAATTTATACTATTCATAACTATTGTAGTTGTTCATGTATAAATGTTATGAGAATATGCTATTTGACAAGTAACAAGTAGCAAAATCAATGTCTAAAACTGGGAAATGTTTCAAAGTTACTGTAAAGGCACAAACACAATATATAGAAACTTAGAACGAAGCCTTAGAAATCAGGCTGTCACAAGCAATCTACCATATGTTAGTTAATTCCCACAACATATTTATGGTTATTAACTATATATAGTACTATTATTAATTAACCTCACCAAATCATTTAAAGATATGTTTCTATATTTTTTTATAAAAAAAAGAATAAATAAAATACATATAGAAGAGTTGGTTCAAATGCAATGGATCTTATTGTACCCCACCTGCTTATATGCATGTTTGATTTGTATTGTTGGTAGGTGAACATTATAGTTGTATTTCTTCTTTTTCTTTCTTTCACTTGTCATTTTTTATTTATATATTTATTTTAAGGGGTTGCTTCACCTTTAATTCCTTAAAAAAGTGCTTCATCAATATGCTATAAATAATTGCATTGTTGAACTTTAAAACCCCACCTCCACTCAACATTCTTCTATTTATTTATGTCCCCCCCCCCCCCCAAGGAGGAGGAGTAAGAAGATATTAGGCCGCTAGCATCAATGACTTTAATTTTTGAATAAATTAGGGGGGTCATGTACAATTATATATTTTATAAATTCTAAAAAATAAACTATATTATTCACAACTTATAAATATTATAATAATGTGTTAGAACTTTTGTGCTTGAATATGATAATAATTTTAAATTTTATTTTAAATAACTATATTGATGATTGAAATTATTGTGATAATTAATTTAATAGGAAATCTCTTTTATTTCTAAATTGATTTTTACCAACAAGTCTTTCCTCAAAATATAATCACTATGTATATAGTTCTTCAAAAATAAAACGATTATTTTATGGCTAATGAAGGTGGGTCTAGTTAATATGAATATGATTGAAGGACATGTTAACTCTTTTATTTAGAAAAAAAAAGAAGAATTTATAGTTTAACTAAATAATTACATAAATTGTTAAAAATATTATTGACTTATTGTAAACCATTCGGTTATCATATTTCGATTAAATAATTTAACAATAAAAATATAAATGTTATATGTGATTTTTTATTTTAAACCAGACAATAGCATGCCAATTAATTAGTATGCAATATTAGCACATCAAAAGCAAATCAGTTACTTGCTTATCTTTCTTTTTGGCCGTCCAGTTACTTATTTATCAAAACTTTGGTTCTTAGGTTTATCATAATGATATAATTAACTAGAAGTTGATGATAAGTCCCACATCACTTGAGGTTCTGACGTTCATAGGGTTTAAATATTTTTTAAGTACTTCCTACTCATGACCTAGCTTTTGGGTTGGACCCAAGGGCCCGATGTGGTATCAAAGTCTTGGTTGTGGGGGAGGGTGAATCATGAGTTTTTTGAGTATGTTCTGCACTTACTTCTTGGGAATTATTAAACCCGAGCAATGTGGGACTTATCATCCCACCGTTCTTCACCCTCCCTCACAATCAAGGCTCTAATACCACATCGGGAGTGTTAGTCGAGTCGAACCAAGCTATTTTGTACAATTAGCATTAATTCTTTAAAAATCACGATACACACAAGACGTTTTTGTTTTTGTTTTTAAAAAACGTACCCTTAGCAAAAACCGCAATGTAAACTTGCAACATATTATTTTAAAAAAATAAACCATGAAGATTTATATATACATGTTGAGATATTTTACTGCTTTTATTTGAAAATTTTGGAATTACTCATTAATACCTTTCAAATTAAAGCCTAGTACCCCTTCGGTCTTTAATATAGGACTTAATTATTGAATTAATTTTGATCTTAAATATAAGATCTAATATCATACTTATCAAATTTTCCTAAATCATTTCTATGAATATTCCATCAACTATAGTTAAGTAAAAATGAGAAGGAAAATATTAATAAAGATAATCATGGTATTTTAGAAAAAACATGTCATATTTCTTATAATTAACTAATTTACCTAACTTTCTT